TGAAGGACATTTTCAAATCACTACCATTTTCTTGCAGAAAACATACCCATTCCATCTCAAATATTCCTAAAGTTGCACTTAAGCAAAGATTATTTGATAAAGCTTGTTAGAGACCACATTTTAAAGAAAAGAAAAATATTTTTAGAGTACAGACACGCACACAAATAATACCACAGTAATGATTCAAAAGCAAGGCTACTTCAAAGCAGCCTGATTATTCTTCAAGAAAATAAGAAGTTTATCAATCAGATTTTCTCTTCCTAATCAAGTCATTCACTGTGCTGGACACTATTAACAGAGCAATTTAGCTCAGCAGTAGAGGTACGTCAATCTGAATTAAATATTTTTCTGTGTTCAAATCACCTTGTCAGGATTCAGGCTGCTCCAGGCTCAGAACACAGGAAGGAGCTTCCAAAAAAGAAACTTCAAAGTTTCCAAAAAGATTACTTCAGGAACTTCAGGTTTTAAGGAAGTGACAACTGCCTCTATGTAGTCCTAGAGCCATGAGACTGGGATAAGCACAGTGCTAACCCATGTGCCTTCTCACTCCGTATGTAATGTTGACCCCATTCGACCTCAAGATTTCTGGCTGGAGATGGGGGGTGAGAAAATGGAATTTGCATCTTTGTAAGAGACTGACCATGACAACAAGACAGTGTGAAGGAGAGCATACATCTCCCACCGAGATGCACTATCTCATTAGCCTGCAATCGGAGGCTGAGACGAGCTGGTTGGTTTTGCTCACTGCAGACATACAAACTGCTCTGAGCACTGTCAGTAGCTGCTGTCCTCAACCCTTCACCAGCATAAGACTAATGGATCACCATGCTACATTCGCATCTAGGGCACAGGAAAAAGAAAAGGAGAGGCCTGACTTAAGTAATTCTGGAAGGCAAAGAAAGTGAATGAAACATGACAATACCTGCTACACCTGGTGAGGAAACACCTGACTTCACACAGACTTTTATAACGTCTCAGTTATTGCCCCTGCACTGCTGGACAACATCCACCATCCCACGGCTGGATCTCTTTGGATTTCTCCTCCCCTTCCCCCCTTTTTTTTTAAAAAAAAAGCCAACACTGGTATTAGAACAAATCTCAGATACAAGAATGCTTTCCAGGACATATGGGTAATGATTGACCTACTCCTACTATTTGTCCAACCACCCCTTCACAAGGAGCTCACTCTGTAAGAGGCCTACAGCTGAGTTGTAGAGAGAGTCCTATCCATCCTTACAGACCAGGGGGGATTTCTGGGGTGGGGGTGAACCTCAGCAACTTTCCCTCACTGTCTGCCAACTTTTCCAAGGAACCAACTGTACTGCCAGTGCACCTCACATCCAACAGAGTCAAACCAAGGTCAGAACAGAAAGATGTGGACACGCGCAAGTGGTGTAACATCAAGAGGTAGAGAGCAGCAGAAAATGCTCTAGGGAGCATGTTCTGGAGAAATGTAGTCAGATCAGTGAAGTCATAGGAAGTTTGTGAGTTTACCAGTAGCAAGTGTTAGGGGAAAACCAGAGCAGAAAGGATCTTGACAGAAGGAGAACCAACCCAGCTGCAAGATGAGGCCAAGCAGCACGAACAGACCACCTGATGGAGCAGAAGGAGAAAACCAAAGAGAAGAATAACAAGAGCTTTATTTTTGCAGCCACAGTTGTGATTGCAAATGGTTAGGCCAGCACAGTGCTTTGAATCACAAGCATAATATCGTGTACCAAGTGTTCTCTGATCATAACATTTGGAGATGAAACAAGGTTCGTTTTAATGCTGCCCTTTAATACCTGCAAGAAAATGCTACACTTTTACAAAGTAAAAAATGCATCCTGACAGAATAAAAGATGGAATAAACCAAGACAGGCAGCATATAGATGAAGTCATTTTGTTGTAAAACATTGGCTGCCTGGAAAACTGTACAACTGTATTTTTGAAATATAAATTCAAAGTCACTATCGTAAGAAAATCAGAATTTCCAGTTCACTGTTTTAGAGCCCTCAGAATCCTCTAATCCTAGCCAAGATACAAATTGGGAGCTCTTTCTTGCTATGTTACAGAAAATCAATAAATGCAGTTTTGGACTATTCACTGTTACTATAAGAAATCTAAGCAGAAAGTAAAACTGAACAAAAGAAAGAAACCCACCAACATTAGCATGCAACACCTCAGAGCTAAGAAAAGACCTTCCTTCTGCAACTGAAATTAAACAATCTCTCTTTTTTATTGGTGATCCTCATACTAAAAAAGAATTGTCTCAGTTTATCGGTGTGTAAGGATGCTGGGGAGGTTTTTACCTACACTCTACACTTCTCAGTTATTAAATTCTTCTGGATCCTAATATTGGCTGAAGGAGATCTAATTAGTATAAAATTCAAATTTATTTCTTTGTAATTATACAGTTCATAAAATCCATTGCTTTCAGGCACACTTTTACACATGCACAAGTGAAGTGCCATCACTTCATCTTCCTTATAGTTCTTTTTCCTTAGTAACAGTTGTGGTATTGCTGGCCAAGCTACAAAAAGTGAATTCTAAGTGAATTCTCATTTCTTCTGGAAAAGAGCTCTATTGCTCTATAATTTTAGTCCAGTTGTAATAATTATCATGCAAATCCCTCAACTCCGCATGGTTACCCAGGCTTAGAACTCATTACAGATTCATTAGAAACACAGTTGCACCATCTTCTCTTTCAGATACTTTGAAATTTAATGATTACCATGAACTAGGGGATAATGCTGCAATATGAACATTACATTCATCACAAAGCTTTTGTACTAGTGCACAGGATTCTTCCATGCTTAATTTGTTATTAATCATACTTTAGATTATAGTTACTGTTGTGGCTTTTTTAAAAACACTGAAAAAATTCCTTATTTGAAAAAACAGTCTGCATCATCTTCCAGATAATTCCCACTCTGCTCACACCTTCTACCAAAAATATTAAGAGAGACACGTAAAAATGAATTACTCTTCACAGACACTGGAGTGTCAGACTACTATTTTTATCTTTTTTTAATGGGACATGGAAAAGTTCAGAAGACAGTAAGGCAACGGAGGGTTAGGGCGAGAGGGCAGACAGCTTGAAAGGGGGCAACATCAGCAACTGCGGTAGTTACTGCACAGATGCTGAGGTGGGGGAAGCAACCAGGATGCAGGACTGGCAGGATGAAATGCAACACTAGAACATCGTGCCTTGATTTATGGAGGTAAGAATTATGTACTAGCCTAAACGAACAGGAAGTACCTCCAACATATTTAAGCACAAAAGTAAACTGCAAAGACATCGCAAAAGTATAAAAAGTTATAACTCGGGTGCTTTGATGCTCTTTAAACCTGGAGAAGTTCCAAGGTTCATTATTTTTTAGGTTATTACTGACTATTAACGTTATTGCACGCAGCAATAGTTAAATCTCAAAGGTAAATAAGGAGTGGGTGATTCTAACAAACATTCATAGTAAAATTGGTGACTTGATACAGTCTTTAAAAATGGAGGGGATTTTAATTAGGCAAAATTGACAGTGATGAACAACAAAGATGAAAAACAGATTCATGCTGTGGACATGAACTCTGCTTAACTAATCAGTGTAATCAAATGCATAAAAAGTCTTCACACTGGAGCTGCACACAGCAATTTCCCAGGAGAGGAGCAGGGAAATTTCCCCTTAACATAAGGGAAACACCAAAAGGTTTTAGAGGAAAAAAAAAAAGGAAAAAAAAAAGTGTGTGTTACTATTCTTTACTTCACTGTCACCAGGGCAGGCAAATAAGATGATGGGCTTCACCTACCACATAGTTTGAACCCCCACAGCTTCAACAGCTTCATCTGTTACAATCCCTTTTGTTGTTCCAGATAAATGAAGAAGATATCACAAAAGGTACTGAAAACCATTATCACAGCAAACTGGAGAAGAATAAAAGCAACCACAGCAAGTTCACTGCAGAATGCTGACAGCAACCCAAGCTTGGAGATTATATAATGAACTTCTGCAAAACTTCACAGCAAGGCTGTTTTTGAGGCGACACAAATATGCTGAAAAATGGGGAAAAAAGGAAGAGGGAGGAAAGCAGGATGATTCATTCAGCGCTTTTTGTGTGAAATAAGCGGCCTGTACTTGTTCACAGAAGAGTGACTCAAAACGCACCTATGCCAAGCTGTGCAACGAGGGAGTGAAAACAAAAAAACCCTACCACTGCTGTCTAAGAGTGACAGAATTAAGAATGAAAATAAAGCAATCAAAAAGAAAAACTAGATATACATTCATACAAATAGATATTCTTTTTTTCTTTTGTGGAAAAAAGGAGGGAGGGTCTGCAAAAACTTGCTTGGTGCATGATCAATACATTCATATCCATACATGCTGCTGTAATAAGCATCCCAAAAGTAGTTCTCTTAGTAACTTAGTGAAGCATGCTTTTGCATTAACAATTCAATTCTAATCTCCTCCTCCTCCAATTTCCCCAAAGAGATTCAGTAAAGCAACTTCATCTGACATATAACATCTAGAACAAGGAATAAAAAGGGTACACTAAAAACAAACTAAAATTGCAGTGCAGAGGCTGATCTGACCATCAAATGTAAAGCATGAGAAGACAATTGATACATCCATTTTGAAGTGATAGCAAAGCAGTCACCAGCATATTAGAAGTCACTTGATTGCCCGACTACTGTAACAGTAAAACACCTATCAGATGTGAAAAAAACCATTTCATTGAGATCTCCCTGACATTGTTTCTCTTCAGGAGTGATTGATCTCAACACACGTCCCTAAACTACATATTGAGTAGTTAAAACTAGCAGCACAGGCCTTCAAGTTATAGTTGGGGGAAACGGAAGTGTGGGAAAAAATTCAAGTATGAATCCCTCTTCCATAAAATATAATGTTAGACTTCAATGTTTAACAGGAAGCTTGATCTGTTTAGAAACGGTCTCCGACGTATCATGACAGCTACTCTTTTAAGAGATCATTTTGCAAGTCCTGATTTTCAATTTCTTATGGAATTACCTGACGGCAACTGGTCATCTACCTTCTGAAGTCGCCATCCTTCACTTATAATGGTATTGATATTTCCACCACACCACTCTTCAGTATCACGGACTGGAATTCAGCAAGAGAATAAGCAGTAGGGATCAGCAAACTTCAGTAGAACCATAAGATCCATTTTGCCACAAATCTCATTTAAGTTATCAAAAATAAAAGAATTACACAGTTTTCCTCTTCTGGAACACTATAAAATCATTATGTGACAATTCAAATGGTACAATAATAAAGGAGGAAGGAAAAAAAAAAATTAGATGCTGATTTTTGATACAATGCTAACAACCTTTTCAGACTTGGAAAGCTTCTGAAATATCAGTTGTCATCATCCCAAAAAGTGATGCTGTAATTATCCCAAATCCCAAAAATCCCCATTTCTTAATTATAAGAACCACCAGAGGAAAACGGGAAAGCAGGGAGAGAAGGGACTAGTACTGGAAGGGACCCTCAAAGTAATTCCAACCAACAGAGTGTTCAAAAATGTTATTGAAAGGGACAGGAGTGAAATGTAGCAATTAAAGGAATGAAAACCAAAGTTAAGATTTTCCACAGGATGTCTTATTCTCATTTGAAGTGTCATAGGTGCTAGGGAGTCTAACCTCCACTAACATCCAAAGAGATACTCAAAAGTGCCAAAATTGTTCAGTGTATGTGACTTCAGCTTCCAAATCACACTGGACCTTTTGAAAGCCATGATCTCTTTGCTCAGTCACTAAGACATGCTTTTGTAAGACATCCCTAACCAGAACAAAACTCTCCTCAGGATAGGAGATGTGCTTGTGGTTTAGACAAACCTCCACCTCTCCCCCTTTTTCTCTATACCTCCACCACTATAGATAAGTTTTTCTGCCATGTAGTTTAACTGGTTTTATTGAGAATACAGTAACTTTAATTCCCAAGAGAGGTAAAGACAAGCCTTGTGCAGTATATCCTGATATCAAAGTCCTATGTCTTATGTTAAAAGCGGCCTCTTTACAGGGGACATCTTTCTACATTATAATTTTAATTTATCCCATAATTTCTGCAGTAATTTGTAGATAGGACATTAGAGTAGTCACATAAGAAATACAATGCTATCTCAGCAAAAATGATAGACAGCGCTGACTCACAGAAGGCAAGAATGGAATAGATTCAAAGGTAATTTACCAGTCCTTTGTACTGTAAGTTATGATAATGTTTCAGTAGACATTAATGGGCAAAGGTTTTGCTTTAAAAACAAACTTGAAAAATATTTTCAAGAAGTCATCTAGGGGAAACTAACTTTTTGCAAATTTATTCTCTATGTTATTACTTTTTGTTTCTAGTATTTGTCTTTGATGTTTTAAAAACATGTAAGTGTTAAACTGGAAGTAATTAAGGACTTAGGAAACCTGTAGCATTGAAACCTTGCAGAGAGCCTTCTATGCAAGTGATTTGACACAATACTCTGTTAGGTCTTTCTAACCAAGAGGAGTCAGTTCATAGCAAAATATAAAGGACTCATTTCAAACACTTTCATCTCTACTAAAATGTAACCTACTCCACAAGCTCTCTGAGGACACAGAGTATATCATCCTGGCAATTTGTTCATTCAACGTGCCTTCCAAGTTCACCAACTTCTGAGTTCCACCATCAGCTAAAGCCTCCCGGGTTTAGTGTCCCTGTTTTGGCAAGAGCGTGACGCTCAACATCTATCTCAGGTATCAGTCTAGTCAAAATGTTCCACTGCTCATTAGAGAGGAAAAAGAGATCACCAGGAAATATTACTCTCTATCCACTTGGTGGGAGACAAAGAGGGCTGGCAGTAAACCTAGGCTCCCTTTCCTTCCCTGGCAGTCTGGATATTCTCCAACAAAGTGAAACCTGTCAGTCTCTATCCCTCCAGGTGATAAGAGAAATGAAATACTGCCTATACTTTAAAGGACAACCAGCTTTGCTTGGGGTTTTGAAAAAAATTTTAAAAAAAAAAAAAAAAAAATCACTTTGTCCTGTCTGTGGGAGAGGGCTGCAGGCTGAGCTCAAATGGAAAGAAACATTTCCCTGAAGGTCTCGGCTAAACACCTAAGCTCTGGAGAGACATGGGGCTGAGGACTCATCTCTCTCCTTAGCCTTTCTTACTGGCTAGCTCCAAGCAGTTGCTGCAGATCCCTGTCCAAAGGACTAATTCTCCCCGAGCACTGTATAGGATGCCCATACATATGACAGTATGCTGTACCACACATGGGAGGGTCTAGCATGTAGAAGACAGTGATCTGCCCTGCATATCCAGTTCTTTCAGATCAAGTCCTCAATAACTTATTAAAGCCCAGTAGGAATAGCCACATTAGGCTGTCTGCGAGATACATTAAAAGGGCATTTGCCTGGCACACACTAAGAGGAAAGTCAGACTAAACGATGTAACAGTCTCTCCTGGCCTCAGCCCTGTGTAAAAGGATCTTTACCTCAGAGGGCTGAGAGACTAATTAATTTGTGCTTTAAAAAACCCTTCAGAAACTTGGAAGAATGATGCTACTCTGCTTGCAAAGCATTCATTCTTCCTTGGTTAATTTAATTCAGACTCCTTTCCCACTGATATATACACATATATCAGTTTATCCCCCAGTAAGATACACTGAATAAAGCACGGAAGTAGAAAACGCTTTGCAGTTCAAGGCTGATGATTGCGTATATTGCTTCAACACATTGTTTTTATATTCTGTATATGCTAGTCTGACTGAAAAGCTAAGGTATGACTGTAATGAGGCAAGCGATTTTGCCCTTTGTTTCTCTCTGTTGTCCTCAACAGGCCAGAAGGTTGGGAACAATACATGCCTACTCATCTGTGGCAGATTATGATCACCTACAACAAAAAAAGAACTAGGTACAGCTGAGAGGCTTAATTTCCTTTCATATTATCAGGAGATCCAGGCTTGCTCCAAATCAGGGGAAAATAAAACATTGGGAGTGTCCTACCATGCCTCCTGCTCAAAACCAGGACCTGCCTCCAACTAAGTACTCGAAGGAGAGTACTAAACACTGAACAACAACTATCCCAGATACTAGGATGCTAACCCAGACACTGGGAACAAACTATCCCAAAGCAGTGCTAACAAGGACCATGGCTTGCCAGTCTGGGGACCAGTCAGACACTCTCCACCAACACTTACGTGCTGAAGTGAACGGTACAAGAACAATTTATCCTGCCAGTCATCCAAGACTTGCACAGGAATGCAGGGACCGAAGATACAAATCCCACTGCCTCAACTATACAACTGGAGAACAAGCAAAACTACCATGTTGTTCTTTGGGACAGTTTTTATCTTGGATTATAACTAGAACAAAGCCTGGCTTTAAATCAGTCTTAATCAGCACTTCTACTTTTTAGCTAATCTTCAAAAGACGTGATTCTCTTTGGATAGCGCTCATTAAAACAGGTTCATCCACAACGAAATCATGCTGTAGTCAGAATATATACTGTATGTTCTGAGAGCACATGACATAAACACTATTTAAACAGTTATAACTTACCAGAGTTGTATCTTTATATTTATTATCTTCATATTTATTTTATTAGAAAATAGTAAGCTAAGTTTCTATAGTGATTTTAATGTATTTATACCAAGCTCAGCTTGAATGAAAGTGAGTCCTTTTTAAAAGGCACAAAAAGAACACTGCAAAATGGTATTAATTCACTAAATAAATTATTTTCAGTGACTTGTGTACATATGAAGGAAGGTAGGTTATCCAAAATTGTGTTTTAAATTGATCAAAAGGAAACATTGCCTCAAATTAGGGAGTGGACACAACCACTTCTGGATCCCAAATTCTTCCAAAACTACAGCCCTGGCAGACATGTGCATCCAAACACAGCTTTTATTTGCAGATAGGAAGAGGGGAAACAAGCTTCATACTAGTTTAACTCAGTCAGTTCCTTAGTGTTCAATAAACCAGCCACTAAACTGAATCAGTCAAACTAAACCAGAAAATTATCTCGCAACTCCTGCAGTAGAGACAAGAAAGATAAGGTGCTGTCAAAAGTTCAAACAAACTGGGATCCCAGGTGCTTGGAGTCGAAATTCCCCTTCAGATCAGTGGCTGCACTTTCCTGTTAAAATCTTAGCTGGACATAGTTCTGGTTTGTCCACGAGCAGCTAAATATGAAAAATGTATTTAACACTTAGTTCTTTACTGCTTCATAATGATATCAAACCCAATTTCAGACCATTTGTTTTCACCTTCAGTTCTGAATCTACCCTGATACATTTGTTGGGGTTCCATAGCTGGCGCCCGTCGTGGGACGGGCGGCCTGATGCGGCGCTGGGCCGCACAGGGCACCGGCCTGGAGCACGCCGCCAGGACAGGCTGCGCTTCCCCGCCTCTTCTCCCTCTCCATCGCCCTTCTACCTTCTCGTATCTTCTGCTACACAGAAGATACGAACCACAGCTGCAATTCCCTCAACGCACCTCAAAATAATGAGGGTTTACTGCAGGAGCACTCTTCCTTTATCCTTCCCAAGGCCTCATATCCTGATTGCAACCCCCCACCCTTTCCAGTGTGAGGATTTATTTATTTTTAATCACAAGCAAATAAGGCACACCTACAGAGCACCCGTTCTTCCAGCTGCCACTTCCCCAGGGACATCTCCACTGCCAATATATCCAATTTGGTATTAATAAACCACAGTGAGTCAGCAGAAATCACTCCTATTCCCAACCATTCCCCCCCTGAGGGTGCCAGCAGATGTTCGAAGGAGAGATCAGCAGCAGGGCGCTGCCAATCACCTCAGCATTATTTTAACCTCACTTGTCTGTTCAGCTTTTAACTGTCTACGTTATAAAGAGGGGATAAAAGAAACAAATCTTTTCTGTTAATATAGTTCACTCCTGCGGAGATGAAAATCTAGATGATCCCATTCACACTTGCATGGCAAAACATACCTAATATCGCCTTATCACCTGAAATGATACAAAGCCATTGTCATCTGAATCAGTTGGTCTCCTGTTTGCTACACAATATCACACAATAAAGCTCAAGGGGTTTTGTCCGCATTTGCAGATGCATCAATTCCCGGAGGAGAGAGCTGAAAGTCCCCCTCTGCAGA